CGTGCAATGCACGTGTGGAGTAACTAGTTCTCTTTATGGTTCGATTAATCATGATTCGTTTTCATTTCTTTTAGTTTGGGAGATATTGTAACAAACAAAACAAAAATGTGTTTCAATTGAGTTTTATAACATGACCCCTGCCCATATACACAAACAAAACGAAAATGTCTTAAAATTATACACACATATTATCATATGACCTCTGCACATTCATGGCATTATAGCATTTCACATCATCAATATAATTAGAAATCAATTCATACTTTATCTCATATACAATCAATAAGTCATTAATTTGATTTAAAATGCTTTATTATCCCATATGCAGTCAATAAGTGCATCACGAAATACAGTAAAATACCTTATCTCTTATACAGTCAATAAGGCATTAATTTAGAAACTAGTTCATACTTTATCTCATATATAGTCAATAAGTGTATCACGGAATATAAATATAGTCAATAAGTTACTAATTTAAAAGGAGAAACAAGTCAAACAACTACGATTTTGAAATTAAAAATGCAAGTTCCTAAAGTTCTTGAATAATGAAGATAGAAAACAATTCTCTAATAAAAAAAGTTCTAATACATATTTTCACTTGAAGTACTAAGTTTCAGGGATAACATCGTCTTCTAATATATCACATTTTACTTTTGTCGTCCATATACTTAGTTGAGTGCGAGATTAAAGCAAGATAAATTTATTTTTAGTTTTTTTGTTTTTTTATAAAAAGTGCAAATACGTCAGGGTATCTTGGGTGTTTTTTTTATAAAAGAAGTTGATACGTGTATTCGTCAGGCTATGAGTATCTGAAACTTTAAAATAACTACCAAAAAAGTTGAAAACTTTAAATCAATTGCAAATACGGTCCGGGAACGTACGGTACGAGTATCCTAGAATATCTGATACATAACGTTTCCGATACACTATTACGGTAGTGGATTGAACTTTTAGTGGATTCCTCACTCATGGTGCTATGTACCTGACTTTCACAATAGTTATAAGTTATGTTGGTGTACATATTTATTCCATGGTTGCACACTTAGCTTGCAGACTTATAGTCCTTTCACTCCAATGATTGCAATCGGTCTTATCATTATATTAACATATCTTTTTATATAAAGATTGATGTATCCAAGCAAATGTAGGTACAAATATATACATAAATCACAGTCATAGATTTAGTAACACAATCCTATACTTTTTAATATATAAAAGTATTGAGGTCATTTATGTACAACTACAATGAATATACAAATTGGATTATTATATATTATGGAGTACAATTAAATTACTATTATTATAATTATATATTATTATATTATTATACATATAAAAAATTATATTATATATTACTCACAATGTCCCTTATAACTTTGTCATTTCTCCTTTTTTTGATGTCCCAAAAAATTTTGTCACTTTCTCTTTTAATCATTGAAGTTATAGTTCATGTTATTTCTCTTTCAACCACACAGTTATTACTTTATTATATTCCGTGTTAGTCAAACTTGACAAAATCTTGAGAGACGGAGGGAGTATAATTGTACAAAGGACTTGAGCCTCGACGGATCTAGGGTTGGACAAGCCAAGGAGATAAAGTAGCTCGTAAAAATGTGGGTCCTCGGCCCAAATACTTGATCGGCCCAAGAAAATCCATTCAAGCCACAAGAATACTTAGGGCCTGTTTACTAACAGAGATATTTTCCAGTTTTCTAGAAAACTGGAAAACTGGAAAACAGAAAACAGGAAACGTGTTTACCAAAGAAATTGCTGGAAAACTGGAGAAAAGAAAAAAGAAAAACGCGTTTACCAAATCGTTTTCTAAAACGAAAAAAAAGAGACACATCTCTCTTTTCCTTAATGATTTGGAGAAGTGATTTTTACTAGTTTTCCAAATTTAGAAAACGCAGATGCTACAGTGCCGCTGCAATGAATTTGCATACTTACGCCTAGTGGTGGATCCGGTCCCGCTCCGATGCCGATTCCATTCCGGTACCCCCCATCCACGTACCTTACCCCTTACCCTACCAACCCCACCCCGCGTACCCATTTTTCCCTATAATGACCCTACCCCACCCCCTACCACATGCCCCTACCTCGGCCCCACCCCGATCCACCCTACCCTACCGCCACCCCCCTACCACCTCGACGCCACCCCCGACCCACCCTACCCTACCCCCACCCGTGTATTACCCCTTACAACATGCCCCCTAGCTCGTCCCCACCGCCATCCTACCCCCACCCTCGTACCGCCATCCTACCCCCACCCTTCCGCCATCCTACCCCCACTACCATCCTAACCCCCACTCTACCCTTCCCCTACCTCGGCCCCACCCGGATCCCGGGACCACCCTACTGTCATCCTATCACAACTCCCTACCCTACCCCTACCTTACCCCAACCACAAACCCTATCCACTACCCCCACCCTTACCTCCATCCTACCCCCACCCCACCCCTTCCTTACCCCGGCCCCACCCTACCGCCATCCTATCCCAACTCCCTACCCCTACCTTACACCAACCCTACCCACTACCCCACCCTTACCCCTAACCATGACCCTAACCCACCCACTACCCCCACCCAACCCCCAACCCCTAGACCTTACCACCCCACCCCGACCATACCCCTTACCCCACCCCCACCCATAACTTCCCGACCCCTACGAGTAGGTATGGGTGGCTATGAAGGGTTGTGGGGGAGTATGGGTAGAGTGTAAGATCGTGGTAAGGGTAGGGGTAGGGGTCAAGGGTGTGGAATTGGAGAACTGGGTGAAAATATTGATGAACATGTTTTCAGATTTGAAAATGGAAAATAAAAAAAATAGAAACAGAAAATTGGAGATAGAAAAACTAAAAAATAAAAACAGAAAATTAGTGAATGAAAAACAGAAGTAGAAAACAGGAAAATATCTTTGTTAGTAAACAGACCCTTACTTTTTGGAAAATGTCACAGGATAGGGCATGTACCGTGTAGGTATTTGAGGTCCTCTATTGCGCATTTTTAAGAAAGGCCAAACATTGAAGCGATGAAAATGGGGGACTAGGCTGGGTAAGGGTAGGTTAGGATGATTTCTTTTAGACTGAAATTTGCTAGTCTGAACTGGTTTGGTAAACGTATGGTCTCTGTGCATTTTATAACTACGCAAATCTGATCTGGACTGAAAACAGTCCAAAAGAAAACATCCTTACTTGGTAGGAAGAGCGTGCATAAAGGAGAGGTCTCAGCTTCAATTCCATGTAAAGACTTATTTGGTTGAAACTTCATTCTCTTTCCACTAATATTCATGTGATCAAAGTTGGATTTACATCCTCCCACAACTATCTGACCATTTCTGTAACCATCGGGAATGGATAGCATCATTTGGGGGGATTGCAAGCGTGTAATGGATTCGGTAGGCAAAGCCCAATATTTATTATGATTATTTTTATTATTGTTATATTATTATTGTTAGTGTTATTATATCATATATAATATGCCTTTATACTCTTAGTAGTCCAAGAGATCGTTTTGGGTCATAATTTTTAGTCTATTTCACAAGTTTTCTGTGAGAGAGGAATAGACACAGAGTTTGGAGCTATATTTCTCTACAAGAACTGATCATTTGGATAAAAGTACTAATTTTCTATGTGAATCTTGATTTTTGTTTTTTAAAAAGTGAAGATATGTTTTGATTTTGAGTTTTGTTTATTGTTAATGAGGATTGAAAGTGTCGCTAGTTTGCACACTCTGCTTTATGTTTCATATACAAGTCTTGTCATTTTCACGAAAGTTTGTAATGTTGTGCATCTCGTATTTTGCGAGCCCACTCGGCCCAATTGTGAGACCCGTTAGATCCTGATTTGGGTCCAAATTTTCAGACATGCCGAATATACAAGTCTGAGTCCTTTATTAACTTAGTGGGTTCGTGTCTGGAACACCACGTTTCAGCCCGGTCCCAACCCATTGACAGACCTACACATGACCCAACCCATTGACAACCCTACGCGTAAAACCTATGAACTGAAATATAATTCATATTAGTGCAAATGTAATCTCGTATTGTGGTTGATGTAAACTCTTGGACTTTGAGTCTAGCAGACACTAAAGAAATGTTTGAAATGTAATCTCACACAATAGCAAATGTGACTCACGTTACTAAAATGTCATCTTACGTAGTGACAAATGTAACTTGTGTTACTAGAAATGTAATCTCATTTAGCAGCAAATGTAACTTATTGAATACGATGAACTTTCATATATGAATCACATGAAGTAAAAATAAAATAAAGCTTGAAGAAAAGTTGCAAGCCTTCATATACAAATATGAATTTTAATTTTGTACTACTAAAACTTAAGTTTTGAATTGATGGAGAAGAAAACAAAGAAAAAGAAGAAACAAGAGTTTATGAACGAGATGGCCGGACAAATAGGCGAAGAAGAGAAATAGATGGCCGAACATATCGGCAAAAAAGAGAAATTGATGGTTGAACATATCAACGAATAAGAGGAATAAATGGTCAGACAGTTCAGCGAATAAGAGGAATAAATGTCCGAACAAGTTGGCAAAGAAGAGGAATAGATGAATGGAAAAGAAGAGTTGTCTACTCATTTTAGTTAATAAAACGCTATCGTATAGGGACCGGTATACTGTGCACATAGTGTAACGAATAACTATGTCACGGTATAATTTGGTATGGGACAATATATGGAGTAAGATTTACTATTCGTCATTGACTTAATTCACTTCGTTCACAAATAGGGGGACTAAGAGTCGAACATACTTCCTCCGTCCCATTTTGTTTGTCCTACTTTCCTTTTTGGGTTGTCCCAAAATAAGTGTCTCATTTTCCTTTTTGGAAAGAAATATGTGGTCTATAACATTTCACCTTATTATACTCAAATCTCAACCCCAACTTTTACCTTTTCAGCCACTTCATTAATAATTGTGTCAAGTTAAAGTATGACACATAAAATGGGACGGAAGTAGTAATATTCACTCACAATTCCCGAGACCACACCCTTTAGCGAATGCATATATACGAAATTACGAAGTAGTCCTTAGTCCGTAACACACAAAACTCATCATATACCGATACTATAATCTATACACAAGCCCCACAAGAGAAGCTCAGGTAGTCCAAGAAAAGTTTCAAGCAGAACATATATTTATTTATTAAGACCGATATAACAACAAAGTAACAAACAAACAGGATATATGATTAACTTGCTCTTTCTTTTGTCAGATACCTATAAGTTTTATGCCATGTCATGTCATGCACCTCAGCTTGATCGATCAATAACCTCTACAGCTTTGGAAGGTCATGAAAAACCAGGAGTACAGTACAATGAAGATCCTAGATGCCTGGTAGATGACGGGGTAGGGGGTGCTAGATGGTGCCCATTGACTGCGTCTGAACTCTCTGAAGAATGGTTCCACTGACCGTTCACTCCAAAACTTGCAGCGTGGGCAACTCCTCCCCATCCAGGGCGGTGATGCGTATGACCACCATATAGATCTGCATAGTTCATTGATTGGGTGGTATAGGTGGAGGGGGGCACGGAGTTTCCACCTGGACACCTCCTACTTTCCACCATTCCATTGATGTTATTATAATCTTTACAGTTTGGGCTGCTGATGCTATCCTTGATCACAATTGCTTCTTTGGTGGTGGAACCTGCGCCCGCATAATGACTATGAGACATGTAGGCCATTTGGTTACAAACATCTCCCGCTTGTTTAGTGATGACACCGTATCCACCACCACCACCACCACCAAATGACCCACAACGGTCAAGGATGCTGCCCATTGTCATCAAACCACTGCCAGCATTCCAACCACGGTGATAGCCTTGAAGATCTCCAGCCTGATGATATGGCTTACCTGCCTCTTTCGTGAAACTTGTTTGTGATGAGGGATTTGCTTTCGGGGTCATACTTTCATCATCATCATCATCTTTGCTGTCCACCAATACATTCTTTCCCATCAGCCTGATAACGGGCTTAGAGGGGCTTGGGAGCCCAGAGTCAGCCAAGACTTTGGAGTGACACAGATGTAAATTTGTCGGGGGAAGTGGGGTAGTTCGCCTCTGTTGCTGCAAGAGTTGTGGTAAAGGCGGCTCTTGATAGCTCAAGGAAAGAGTTTGAGAGGAGGCAAATCCACAACAGCATGACTGCTGCTGCTGTTCACTACTACTGTACTTGAATCCTTTCTTAGGCAATAATAATGTTACATTTATGGCCTCCAGATGTGGAGTAGGGTTCTCCACACCATGATGATGACCGCTCGATTGGTTTTCTACTTCTATAGTAGTTGAATAAAGCCAAGGCTTTCCACTAGCATCTGGCTGGTCTGAGGACCTGGTGAAGTGGGAGAGTGTAGAAGTAGCAGAAACTGGAGAATCGTCAGATGAAACCCCCCTCCTATTAGCAACAACTAACTCATGATCTGGATGATGGTCTTCATCGGAAGATTGAGGTCTGCAGTTACTGGTGACCAGTGATGAATTTCCTTGAAAATCTTCTTCTGAGCACGTACGACCAGGACTGGGTATAAAGGACCCTGGTGGTCCCGGTATAGGAATTGAGTCAACCTCTAGGTGACAATACCCCCCTTGGAATTCATGCTTCTGAGTGACTGTGGCACGTATATCGACAGGGGTAGGAAACATCTCCTCTTTGTCACAGCGAATAAAATACCGCCCCTTCCTTTCAAATTCCACATTCCCAAACAGCAGCCGTGTATGATCATCATCAGCACCCAAGCAGCTATTTTCATCTACTCCAGAACCCCCCATATGTTTGCTAAGTTTTACAAACTTTCTCCCGGCAGACAACTCTGAGGAGGCAGGCTCCACTTCAACATGGTGGAGGTGGTCATCATCACATAAGCCTGATGCAACACTGAAGGTAGAGCTACTATTGTTGTTGTTGCTATTATTATTATTATTATTATTATTATTATTATTATTATTCCCAATATCGCGATCACAATGGCCGGCAATGGGATGTAAGCCCATCATGCTCATATCTTCATCCTTCTTATCCTCCTTTCTGATTCTCAAGACCTTCGCTTTCTTAGCATCATGCCGTCTGGCTTGAAATTTACCCTGGCTTTCAGCGGCAGGATCATATTCTTTTTCATCATCATCTTCACATGTTTCCTCATCACGCCTGATGATGGACCTGCTGCTGCAAGGAACCTTAAATTTCTTATGGCTGCTGCATTTCACAACAGATGTTTGACTAATGGGTACTAGGTTCTTCTTAGGAGATGAGAACTTCTTAGCTTTTGAAGAGAATGCATGATGACAGTGGGCCCCACTGTACCTTGGTGTCGCAGCATTTACATTAATGGCAGGATTCGTATGATGAGGTGTTTGATTTAGACCATTAGTGGTGTCCCCACTACTGCAACAGGGTGAAAGGACCTTATCATCTGCTTTTAAATATTTTGCTGCTTTGCACTTCTTCTTTAGCATTTGAAAACCACCTTTCTTTGTTAAATAAGGTAGCTCACTGTGATCATCATCACTGACCTCACATTCTTCATCCCCCAACCTTTTGTGTCTTTTCTCACTAGAATTTGCCTTTAGGGGCGGTTTTAGGTTTCTTGAATTACCGCTCAGGTTGGCATATGGATCTTCATGATACTCATTACCCATCTTGTTGTAATCTTGAGACCTGAGCTGCAAGTTTGGGAAATCCTCTTTCTCAGTAGTTTGCTTTCGAACATAGCTCGTATCTTGAACACCACTCATCTGTTTTCACAGTAACCAAACAGCTCATCCATTAGCTACAATACAACATCTAGTACTGGTTGGTGATGAGGAAAATGAAAATTTATAGAGCGCAAAAACGTGTGAAATATGGGGAACGTGATAAGGGAAAGATCATTTTTTAATAGAAACCAATTGTTTGGAAAATTTCTAAAGAGTTTTTCATGGAGTTTCTGAAACACATATGTGTTCTTTCCTGATGAGTTTCCATGCTTCATGGATGATAATCAGTCTATTGTTCCAAACAATCAATTCAAAAATACAACGAAGTAACTAAAGGGGCTCACATTTGAGCGTGTACTTTGAAAATGCATGCATAAAATCAAAATAAAACAAAAATTCCTTCCTTTCTTCCCTTCTTTAATATGGAGCACATACAAGTATACAGTGCATCTGGAATAAAGGAAACAAGAGAAGCTTGGAGGGCGGAATATTTTCAAAAGGTTCATTTCATTATTTGTATTATTTTTGTTCATCATGCAGTCCCACCATGAACAGATTCAAGGACACAAAAGTTGGGTGGCAAAAAATACCTCCAAAATATGTCGGCTGAAAGAGCAGACAACTTTGTTTTGGGCATCGGATTTCAAAATCTTCTTGAATTTTTTCTGGGAATGGTGGCTCTTATGTTTATTCTTTTTGGAGGTGGAAAGGAACTTGAACCCTCTGTTACCTTTCATAAATTTCTTTGAGCCAAATGTGGTGCCTTTTCCATCATTGAACTTTGATAGAATCCGAAGCTTAGTCCCATTGGCATCAATATATACTGCACCTTCAGCACATGCTTTGTCAGTATCAACAACAGGTGGCAATTTTTTTGTTTTCTCGTCATCACATCTATCCATCTCTTGGGCAGAAAAGCTGGGGCGGACAGCAAAGGTTGTTCCATTTCTTCGATCAAGATCCTCCAATGTGCAATGTTGGGCAGTTGTGTAGATGTCAGTCATAAGTCTTGTTTTTCTGGGCCTCATCCTATGCCTGCTAACTTCACTATTCGCTGAAGTCCACTTGATGGTTGGTGACTCGCCAGAAAGACAACGATCAATGTGAGCATTCAGAGTGGTGTTTGATGATGATGAGAACTTCTTGCAAACTGGACATGTTTTTGAAACAGCTGCCATTGATTCTGATATCACAGCAAAATTACTTGCTCTATTTTCCTCAATGCTGCTGCTGCTCAGCTTGGCGCCTGTAAAGATGCGCTTCTTAACTGGGTGGGCCTTGTCTGGTCTCCCAGCTTTAGCTCCCAATTCCAAACAAGACCTGCTCCTCTTCCTCCTATTCACCGGGACAGAATCTACTAGTGCTGAACAAGAGGAAACTTTATTCACGTCAGTTCCAGCACTTAAATTTATGTTAGCAGGCGATGGAGTATTGTGGGGCGCAGACGGCAAGGAATCGTCATCACACGGTCTGGATTGCTCTCCATGCAAAACGGTTGTATCCTGTTTGTCAGCCAATAACGTATTGCGTCTCTGATTGTCAGCAGTAGCAAAAGGTGGCAACAAATCCTTCACACCATGTTTCAAACAAAGCTCCAAACTTTTCTGAGAAAAAGGCCAGTTGGTCTTGATATTCTTGCTCCTGCCGCTAAAAACATAATCCCTGAAACCCATTAATCAGGACTATTATTTAATTTTATTTTTATTTTGGACAACGGGAAAACAAAATCTGAAGATGCAATCTTTGCAGAAAAAACGAAAAGAAATCTTCGGATGAAAGTTTCCTCAAACTGCTCGTGTACATGATCGGTGATAACTGCTGTTCCTCCCAGGATGGAATTTCAAGAACAAAAAGGTAGGACATGCTAATAAGAGGATGACGTCATGATGAACATACACACATGAAATAACCACCAAGAATTGCTAATCCGGGCATAGACTGCCAAATATAAGAAGACTGCTAAATTTAAGAACTTGAAGAAGAAGAAGAGCACAAAAGCAGCCAGCATGGATTGGTTTAAAATAATAGCTCATGTAGATCTGACCGGAGGAAAAGTCTCAAGAAACACTAGACCCAGACCAGACACTCTCTATCAGACTCAAAATTAAAAGGAAAAATGTTTGTAGGTGTTAATAAGCAGGTTCTAATTTTAAGTAAATCAAATTTACCTCATGGAAAAATATTTGGAGGGTGGACTTGACCGGGACAGATCTACCTTCTCAACGGAAGAAGAACCACTTTCATCATCACCACCACTCTTGCTTTCTTTAAGTGGAGATGAGGTTAGCTGGGGAGGAGGGGGGCACGGCAGATCTGGAGGGTTTTCATGAATGGATAACATCTGCCTGCTGGCCTTCTTCTTATTATTATCCTCTTAACTTTCAGCATAACAGTCGTAGCCCTTAAAGCTAAAGATAAGGCCTGCCCACTAATTAAGATCTATCTCTAGATCGAACAAAGTGACCAACCCCTTCTGTTCTTGGTGATTAGCCTGCCACCTGCACAGATCCATAGATCATCAGAGGCTAGGAAAGGAGAGATTTTTACTAATTGCAGCCAGCAACAACTCACTAGATCGAGAGTAGCTTCAAGCAATCAAAGAACACCCGGCCAGAAGTTGAGTAAAGGTAGAAATGGGACCTCGAGAAAATATATGCTTGCAAGAACACTCCACGGACGTTATCATATGCTCACTACAGCTAGCAAAGGCGCGTGAGAGAGAGTATGAAGCATAATCAAGAGAGGGATAGCTGATTGAAGAAGGAAATTTGGGGAGGGAGATAGAGAGAGATAGCAGCAAGTTAAAGTATGCTGAGTGGGGTGGGGGCGGATGAGGTGAGGTGAAACATCATGAGATGAGACGTTATTTTATGTGGGAAACCTAAAGACGAAATTTTCCAAACCTTTTCAAGATGGGAAACAACTAATCAGCACTTCCAAAAAAAATTGGCAAATCAAAACTCAACAAAACTGTTAATTGGTTCCAAACGGTAATTAAAGATTGGATTTTTCTTAGTAAATTTCTTTCTTTCTTTCATAAAAAACTAACTGGGAAAGAAACTAGTCGAGGGTACGTACGGTCCAGCTAGAAGGGATCGATATTTGATCATTTTCACATGAAATTTTGAAGTAATCTTTGGCATTCCTTGACCACAATTAATATAAACACTCACCCAAAGACCATATTTACTCAGACTTGACCCAATGCTAATTATTTTGAGAGAGATTTAAGAAAACTTCTAAAACCCATTCTTGAAAACAAAACATTTCTCAAAATCCAAACAATTCAAGCATCTAGATCAGGCATCCCACCTGAACCCAGATGGTCTGAGGAGTACCCAAAATTAAAGGAAGGAAGACGGGAATCTGCAGGCTGCAGCAAGAAAGCGAACACAGACCAGAGATGCATGGGAGAAGAAACTCAAAGAAATCTAAGGGAAAGCAACTTAATTGATCGGTAGATCTCTTCAATGGCCTGGACTGGGTGAGAAAAATCGTACCTTTTTAATTTGCAGTAGAAGAATTGTTTAAGGGACTGCAGTTCACCGGAGAGACCAAAAAATGAATTGAAGTATGAGGCAGGTTCTTCTTCAAGACTTCAACTCTCTCATCAGCTAAAAAGCATGCTCCTGCCATTAAAAATACGGACACTGTGTTTATTTACCCTTCTTTTTGGGTTGTTTTTTGTACGGAGTGATCGTAAAAGAAAAAGGTAGAGAGAGAAAGATAGAGATAGAGACGCGGAAGAGTAGCAGGAGTCCAGTGCTACACACTATGAGGCTGTCTTATCCTACACCTACTCTACCCGTCGATCCATTTTTTCCTTCTTTCTCCGGCATTATCAATATTTTTCATTTTTTACCGCCTGATTGATAACGTTGTGGGTGAATGCCTGAATGGATTCTTCTCCCGAAATTTATTTGTAAAAAACAATCCAATGAGTCCTAACGATCTATTTACAACCTCTTAATCCCGATTTTAGCTTACATGTCGATTTTATTGACTAGTATTTCAACAGATCTTAGTTAAATATTCGACGTATGCCGTATAATCTATTCTAAAAAGATGGTCGGAAGTATGCTAAAATCGGGATTAAGAGGCGTTAAATAGGTCATTAGGACCTATTTGATTGCTTTTTAAAAGTAGATGTACTTATATGACACTTTATTGAGTACATGACCTCATATTACTATTTCATTATAGTAGAAGACCTTATTTGACCTTTTTCTCTATAAATTTAGAAATTGTGTGATAACAAAAAAAGTTAGGTTGAAGTTACTTTTTTTATTGTATTGGCTTAGTTACTATAGAGGATCATTTTAGCTATTTTTTAATAAAATATGTTTTATGTAAATTTTTTCATAAATCAACCAATAGAACCACTTAGTCAGAACTTCATAAATATCAGCATAAACAGCTCTTATAAATTGCTATTGATTTTATGTTGATTGATTCATTTGTTAAAAAATTATATTCATATGTAAAATACTTGATTTATTCTTTTTGTTTAATCATTTTTTACTTTTCAAAACAATGATGTTAAACATTGACGTATTATATACTACTCCGTTTATATATTTATATTTATACACGATAATAAGAAAATGGTATGAGAATATCTTTAAAAAATTAGTAAAACTATAAGAAAAAGATGCAATTTCATTGTAAACAAATAAATATGGTAATAACTACATAAACTAGTTCAACCTACACTCTGATTTTGTTCACCCTTTGAAATAGATGAGAAAACATATGGAGCACGCTCGTGTGTTTACTAAGAACTTAAGAAGCACATCACTTACATACACCTTAAGAATGTTTCTACTTAGATTGAAATTTCTAATATGTTCTGATCAGATCTGATTCGTTTTAATCTAAACTGATTTGGTTTGATAAATATCTAAACTCTATGTACTTCACACCTGTTGAAGGCTGATTTGGTTTGATCTGTTCTAGTCTGGGCTGAGACTTAAATATGTCCAAGTAAAAACATCCTAAGGAACACGCAAATTAACGTGATGAATTACTAAGATTCATTCATCTAAAATATTTGAAAATTTCGACCATTTATCACAACAACGTGCTCCTTAGTGAGCATGCTAACGTGCACTATATATTTTTACTCCCTACCATATTTATGTGTCACGTGACATCGCAATCGTGTTTTCGGAAATTATTATAACTTTTAATTCAGGATTCAGTTTTTACAAATATACACATGCACACATACTCCAATATATTTTTCTTAACTTTTATCAAGTTTGACTTGCACGAAAATTAATAAAGTAAAAATGATATCTGTTGAGGTTTATTCCTTCAACCCCCGGGTCCAACACGTAAGCCCAAGGATTTCGAATGGAGTGTGTATGATTAGACTAGCCCAACAAGCAGATGATATGGATTAGAAAGGCAGGAAAGTAGCAAGTAAGTGATCAGGTATTATTATCTCTTAATAACTCCCTAATACAATACTTTTCGCTAAGGCTCCGTCGGCCGTTTGTCTTACAAGGCAGTGGAAGTGCTGCGAGTAAAAATATTAAAGCTAGAGTGCTAAGAATAGAAAGTTGTCAACCCTTTACAATGAAATAAATGCTTCTATTTATACCCACCAATGGGCAGGTAGGTGGCTATGCTGACGTGGAGGCCTGTGGACCGCTTGTGTCCCAACCACCAAATCTTCTGCATTAAATGCACTTCCCGCCAGAATCTAGGTTTCCCGCCTAAATAGTGGGGACGTTCGTCCGTCCGGGTAGCAAGCTAGATTCCCAAATGTGACCCTTAAGAGGCTTCGGCAGTTCGTCCCCTGGCCTTAATGGATTCTCGCCATGTGGACTGGATTCCTACTGGTAGAATTGCGGGTTCGCCCTGGGGACGTTCGTCGTCATCCCTGATGGCTCGTGGTCCTGCTCCTTGTCCCTGCACAGACGTTCGTCGCGATGGGCCATTGAACCTGAACCCCCCAATTCCAGACGTCCGTCTTTTCCCAAGGGTCATGGGCCTGCGTGCAGCCTGGTGTCCTACCCGGACGTGCGTCCGATAGAAAAGGGTTAATGGGCCGGACCTCGATTTGGGCCATTAACCCAACACAAGTCCCCCACTTCTGATGTTCTGAGCATGCGCAGGACATAAAGAAGTATGAAGTCCCTCGAAGTAGACGTTCGTGTCTTGATACTTGTGTTTTATTGCGTCTGGTGGAAGCGTACGCTCGTGGTCATGGTGCTTAACAGCTGTCGACGGTTCAGGAAACGAGGTGACGGCTGCTGTAGCGGCAGTGCATTTTCCGAGGAAATGTCATCATTACGCTTTCGCCCCACGCACAGCGCGTGAGCCGGAATACGCTTCTTGCCACGTGTCCGCCCCTCGTTGGTCCCCCCATCGGTGTCTCTCCTATAAATGCCGGGTTTTCCCTCTGGATTAGGGTTCCCAACTTCTGCTCTCCTGCTTCCGCATTCCCGCAGCTCTTCAAGCCTTCTCCCGCTTTCAAGCTCGGCTAATCCCTCTCTAAGGTAATTTCCCTCCTCTGCTTCTTTTCCTTGTCTTGAATTCTCGCCGAGATGGTTTCGATGGAGATCTCGTCAAGTTCTGGTTCGGGCTCATCGGGTTCTTCCTCAGGCTCCTCTTCCGACTCCGGTTCGCGCTCTTCGGGCGAAACTAGCACTTCCGGTAGTTCTGGCTCGGCCCCTACCGTGGGAATTGTTCAGGCTGGGGGAGCCGGAGGTGGTGTTGTTGCAATGGTCCCTGGTGAGGAGAGTGCTGATTCAGGGGATCACGTGAATACGGTCCTTGATGTGGTGGACCCTGTAGCCGATGTCGGGGAACGGGAATCCGTTAGTGAGGACGGCCGTCCGGACGGGTATGACTCCGGGGTCGAGGCCCAAGATGGTTCCGACATCGAGGTATTTGAACTTGGGTTAAAGATAGATTTGGAGAGGCATCTATGCCCGATCAAGAACGTCCTCTGCCACGAGCAGATCTTCTCGCAGGTGGCCCTCAACAAACTGAAGGTGTTCTTCCCCCCTCCGTTCGTATACAGCCTCCGTGGCGCAACCAACGTGATGAGGAGACGCCCAGGGATGGTTATGGTGCTTCTGGACTCCATCGAGGCTGGGCTGCGCTTCCCTCTTCATCCGTTCTTCGTGGAATTCTTCTGTTGTTACCAGATAGCCCCCGCACAACTCATGCCGAATTCCTATCGGTGGCTCTCCGCCTTCCTAGTCCGTTGCAAGGACAATGGGGTCACCGCCACCTTGGACTTGTTTCATTACTTCTACCGGCTCACCCCCCAGAATTCCGATGGGTTCCTGAGCATTGCAGCCCGTCCGAAACGGAGGTTGTTCAGCGGGGCACCGAGTTCCATCCATGATTGGAAGAATCGGTTCTTCTTTGTGCGGTATGCGGATGCTCGTCTGCCATTGCGGTGGAATGGCTACCCACCCAAGATAGGGTCCCCGGAGCTGACCGACGATCTGGCGGAAGACATCAGGAAGATTTCGACGGGCGGCGTCCGGCCCTTAGATGACTTCCTAACCTTCGAGGCACTTGCCGCGGCAGGAATAGGTACCACCCATACTCTCGGGCATCTTTCCTCCTACGCTCGTCTCGGGGTACTGGGCGGTCCTGACCTCCGAGGTGAGTTCTTCCTGACGCTCGTCCTTCTAACCCATTTCCCTTGTTTTTCCTTTCAGGTCTCCCCCCAACGCAAGAACAAATGAATCACGAGAAGCTCCTTAAGACGAGGAAAGGCAAAGGCGCTGCCGCCGATGCTGCCCTCGCCAAAGCCAAGGCCGCCCAAACAGCAGACTCTAACTCCTCCGCCTCCCAGGCCGATCGTCGCACAGTGGAGGCGGAGCAGCACCTCATCGCCACGGTGATGGCACAGGGGTCCCAGGCCCCAGTCCTCAATTCTGGCGTTCCCGAAGTTGTGGCGCCTCTACAGGCCGTTCATCCGCATGAAGGGGAGAAGGCGAAGGACAAGAAACCCAAAAGGCCTCGGGGGGCTTCCTCTTCGGCCCCCGAAGAGCAGGAGTTGGTCCTTCCCTCCCTCGGGCGTCCGGCCCATGATGTCTGGCAGGAGATCGCCTCTCTGGTCGGCGTGGAGATGCCTCCCCGGACGTCTTCGGAGGCCTCTAATGCGGCTCTGGCCGCTGCTCTTCAGGTAAGACTTTACTCCGCGCGAGGTGCTTGATTACCTTACTCTACTGTCTTGGAGATCTTACTTCCCGTATTTGATTTGTAGGTCGGGCTCTCCGTTCTGCAGTCTGAGGCTGCCCGAGAGGCCGAGGTCCTCCAGGCGAGGAATAAAGCAGACGCTGCCCTGAAGAAGGCGAGAGAGGCCGCTCGTCTGCAGGAGAAAGAGCTGGCCGCCAAGGACAAGGAGCTGCAGGCCGCTCTGAAGGTAGCCCGTGAGTCCTCCACGAAACTTGCGGCCCTGGAGAAGGCTGGATTCAAGCTCGTCCCGGCTCTTCCCGCCCCCAAGGATGAGGCCCCCGAATGGCTCGTCGACGATTCTGGGTACCACAACTCCGGGGCCTTCATGATCGCCGCCCAGAGGTACCTTGGGGGTGCTTTTGGTGATGTGTTCGCTGCTGAGCTGCAGAAACAGGCGCCGAAGGACCGGCTCAAATTCGGGGTCCGAGTTCTGGAGAGCGCGCCCCTGGCCGAGAAATTCTTGTACGACGTTGGGGATAGCTCCTTCGTCATTGGCTACAACGAAGGGGTGAAGGCCACACTGCCGGTCTTCTCCGCTCTTCAGGGCCCCCGATTTGATCTGGCCGAGCATACTTCAGATCCAGAGCTGATCCGGGCAGTGGGCAAGCTGAAACGGGACGCCCGGCGGGAGGAGGCCAGAGCCAGAGGGGAGGTCCTGGAGCCCCCGTCCCCCGAGCCCGAGGAGGAAGAAGAGACCATCCCTGGGGGATCCCGGCCTGTTTCTCCAAATTTTGTGTAATGT